TTCCTATGTGTGAAAACACAACCGAACAAGCAGGGGGAAGAATCCCCAACCCCCAAAGATTCCAAATCCTTTTCTTTTTCAGTTTGTTTCTGGGATTCTTTTTTCTGATTGCAAAAGAAATACATGCTTATTACTGAAAAGTCAAAAGTAAGCACAGCATAAACAACCACCATAATAATTCTGTCCACCCAGAGATAACCACTGTTCCCTCTATTTTCCTTTCATTTATCTCTGTATCTCATCTTTCCTTTGTCAGTTGGTTTTGAGCTCATCTGCAAGTAGCAGGGAATCCAGCCTTATCAGACCCCAGGCTCGTCTCCCGTCAGAAGGGAAGATCCAGGTTTTGTGGGCCCTCCAGTTTACAGGGTTTTGCAGGCCTTCTTTAAAACAACGGAATACAAAGTTTAGGTATAAAAGTGAATACTTAGAATGAGACTAAGAAAAATAAATCACAGTCAAATTCAAATTTTAAGAACTGACAGATTGATAACCAATAAGGACCTACTGTATAACACAGGGAACTATACTCAATATCTTGTAATAACCTATAATGGAAAAGAATCTAAAAGAGAATAGACATATGTATAACTGAATCACTTTGCTGTACACCTGAAACTAACACAACATGGTAAATCAACTATAGTTCAATTTTTTTTTTTTTAAAGTAGGTAAAGGGAAAAAAAGAAAGAACCGACAGGTATCACAAACAGAAAAATAATGTTTTATTAACTAGCTGCTTGCCACGTGCTTCATGGTTTTCTTTCTGTATATTTTTTGTTTTATACTCTTTGATTGCCTCTACATATGTTGCAACGAGTTTGTAATATTTTCTACAGAGAAAGAAAAGAAAATTAGTCCTTCCTGTAATGTATTTGATCAGCTTTGTTTCTTTCTTTTTTTTTTTTTTTTTTGGCGGGACGCGGGCCTCTCACTGTTGTGGCCTCTCCCATTGCGGTGCGCAGGCTCCGGACACGCAGCCTCAGCGGCCATGGCTCACGGGCCCAGCCGCTCCGCGGCATGTAGGATCTTCCCGCACCGGGGCATGAACCCACGTCCCCTGCATCGGCAGGCAGACTCTCAACCACTGCGCCACCAGGGAAGCCCCAGCTTTGTTTCTTATTACTGATAGATTTGAACATTTTCTTTTGGCTTCACATTTAGTTTTATGGTAATGCTGTGTAAATTTTTAGGATTGTTGTTAAATTTGAGAAAACCATCCTCAAACTTCTTTCATAAAGAAACTGGAAGATTTGGGGGCATTTCAAGTTTTCCTGTGCACTGACTCTTCATAAATTCTCTGATGGTGTGTGGAATTCTAGAAGCCACTTCCACACCAGGACAGCTAGCGATGTTTGGCTATGCACAGAAGTGACTGGGAATCATATTTCCCACTAAACTCAAATTAAAGGTCATCCGGATTCACCGTCCTTTTGGCTAAGTTCTAAATTGCCTTTGGCCATTCCAACACCATGAGGGGGAGTATGGCAAGGGAAGTGAGAGTAGAAAGAAACAGCAGTTTTAAGTGACTGCAACCAAAACATGCTACTTCTGCAAATTTTACAAAAACCATATGAGCACAATGCCAGGGCTCTTTCCTGGGCTGTGAAGCTTTGGTTTCATTAGCTCCATGGGCGCTCTGCCTGGTGCATTGGCCCTTCATTCACATGCTTGTTGCCTCTTGGTCATAAGACGATGGATGCAGCTCCTGGCACAAAACATGATAAAGTCAGGAGGAAGTCAAGCGTGCAGGCCAGCCAAATCCACCCCCTCTACAGTGCTTTTCCCAAAGCTACTTCTGGTGTCCCCCACTTACTTCTTTTTTTTTTTTTTTTTATTGGAGTATAATTGCTTTACAATGGTGTGTTCGTTTCTGCTTTATAACAAAGTGACTCAGCTATACATATACGTATATCACCATATCTCCTCCCTCTTGCGTCTCCCTCCCAACCTCCCCCCCCCACTTACTTCTTACTGGTCAGAACTGGGCCACATGGCCCCTAGCTGCAAGGGAGTCTGGAAAGGTGTTTTTAAGTAGACGCATTTCTGGGCCCACAAAATCAGAGGGCTGTTGGTCAAGAAAGAGGGAATGAGTATTAGGTGGCCAGCTAGCAGTGTCTCCTTCAGCTTCCAGGTTGTTTTCCATGTGTATAGATGGACATATTGTGTGCCTGTATTTTCTTACAAAAATTCATACTGCTCTATAGCATGTCATAATTGCTTTAAGTGATTCACCAATACTCAAAAACTAGTAAATGGGAAATTTTTTACCTAAATTGACATGTTGACCATCTTTTACTACAGAATAAATTATGTTCAGCTAAATCACATGCTGCATTTTTTTCTAATTGTGGTTAAACATGCTGTATTTTTTTAGTATCAGAACCTTTTTTCAAACAGCATCTCCATCCGTAACACAGATGGAAGCTGAGTTCCTTTGGTGAGTAGGGTGGTTGTCAGGAACCCTTTCTCTTCTCTCCCAACAACCCCTGAAGCATTTCTGTGGAAATAGCACATTGTTGGTAGACACACTTTAAGACCTTTCCAGCCCAAAAAGGCTCCTTTGCAAACTGAGGTGCCCAGAGAGTGCCCTGGAGCCCTTGTAGGCCCCTCCGTGGCTCCCCACATGCACAGTGGCTTGTGAGGTGAACAGGAAACAAGCCCTCTGGAAAGAGCTGCTCTGAGACACCGAGCGCCTAACACAGTCGTTCTGGGCCCTCACACCAACCCTGTTCACCAGAGACCTTTCCTCAGGCCTTCTGACGACACACCGTATGGTTCTGCCCACAGGCCTGACCCAGTTTCCTCATCCACTGGAGAGGACAAATACCACCCGCCTTAGATTGTTTCTTAGGCCTGTGAAGTTTTAGGGAGATGGTGTGGCTGACGGGGTTTTCCGAAGGCTGAAACACTCTCAAATATGTGCTGTGTTCTCTCTCCTCTAGGAAGGAGTTGGGAGGGGTGAGCTGGGAGGGACAATGGAACAGGGAGGAGGCAGGGGGCATGGGGGGCTGGCAGCCCACACACTCACTGTCTCCCTCTCCAGTGCCTAAGACTGAGCCTTCCTATCCTAGCCCTCTGTGGAAGGACCCGGGTGTCTGACTGGCATAATGGAGGGGGAAAGAGAAGCCCCGGGTGGTCCTAAGGTACTGTTGAATATTGGCCTGAAGGAACCTGCTCTGGTGATGGGGGCGGACATGTGAATTTGACCCTAGGTACTAGACGGGGACAGCGGGACAGAAGGGAAGTCGGAGGAGAAGCAGACAGCAGTGTTGAGTGACGGCAGTTAAAATAGGCTTCTTTTGCAAATTTCACAAGAGATATTAAGAGAGATGAAGCTGCATATTAGTTCTTATTTGGGAAGCTTAATTACGTTCCTTTTCCTCCAAGAGGGTAGGGGCCTCCCCACCCCTCTCACCTGCCTTTCTCCCCTTCACACCCCCTTCCCTCTCCCCCCACCCGCTGACCAACCCCTCCAGCTGGTAGCTGTCCCCCACAGCACAGGTGAGGCCTAGTGATGCTCTCCCAGAGGCAGTGGGCCTTTTTTTTCTTCTTCCTGCCTCAAATACTAGATAAACCCAAATAACTTTTAAGTAAAATCAGGAAATCAAAGATGTAATTCCAATTAAAAATTTTTCTTTAACTTTTTATTTGGAAATAATTCCAGATTCACGGGAAGTTGAAAAAGTAGTACAGAGAGGTCCCGTGCACCCTTCACCTGGCGTCCTCAGTGGTGGCTGTAGCATGTATTGAACCAGGAGGTTGATGTTGGTACAGTCCACAGACTTCATCCACATTTCATCAATTTTACAGTGATTTCTTTTTTAAACAGTTTTTCTTAATTATTAACATAATATAACCATATTACAGAAAACTCGGAAAATAGAAAAAAATGATTCTTGGTTCACTGTCCTATGTAGCCACTATAATCATTTTAGTGTTCATTTCCTTCCAGTCTTTTTGTGTACTTAGCATAATGAAAAGCATCATTTATGTACAATATTATAACCTGACTTAACAATGTTTTAAATAAACATTTTTCTTCATAACCTAGTCTTTATCATTGTACATGGCCGTGTAATATTTCCAATGAATATGCCATATTTTACTTAATTATTCCCCTATTACTAGACAGTTAGATGGTTCCAGTTTTACTGTGTAATGATTTTGTAACATACAGCTTTATTTAACATCTTCCACATTGTGGATCCTCTCTTTAGGGTTTAACACCCAAGGATATGAACAATTTAATGACTCTTGATATAAAATGCCAAATTACTTTCCAAAAGAGCTGTCTCAAATTTCCATGCCACTGACATTTTAAACTATTGTCAGAAGTGGATGGGGTCATTTCTTTAATTGTCACTCACTTAATAATTGGAGAATGATACACTTTTTGTAAAGTTGTAGTTTCTAGTTACTTATAAAGTTGATCATTTTTTCTTCTCTTTACTGGTGATACTTTTTATTTTGTGACTTGGCTGTTGGACTTCTTTGCCCAGTCATCTACTTAGTGTTTTACTTACTGATTTGTAAGAACTCTTTATCTAATGAAAATCTTAAGCTTTCATCTATTATACGTGCTGCAAATATTTCTTCCCAGTTCGTTGTTTACCTGTTAATTTGGTTTATCATTAAATTACTGTGTATGTGGAAATGTTGATTTTTTATGAAACCAAAGCTGTCTTTTTTCCCTTCTTACTTTCAAAAGTCAGTCCTCTCCAGGGATGTGATAAGTTACCATATCCAGTTGTTTTCTTCTCCTTTTTCCGTGGTTTGATTTTGTTTTTTTAATTTATACTGCTGAATGGTATAATGTGAAAACCTAAGCAGATTTTCCCCGAAATTTTCTGTTCAGCTGAATGATCCGTGTCATGCTCCTTCCTCACTTATTTGCAAATCCTCTTATTACTATAGATTATTAAATGTAGTGAGTTAGAATGTCTAGGTCAGCTCTCAACTAGATGATTTCTACAGCTCTGTTTCCTTTTTGCTTCCACCAGATCATGACCAACACGGGGAAGGTGAGGCGGAAGGGGGCGGCCGGCGTGCAGTGGGGCGGCCCTGAGCCCCTGTGCCGGCCCATCACTCCCGGCGGCCACAGGACCGGGTACCCAGCGTAAGTCTGGGTCCTAAAGGAGGCGGGGATTTACTTTCTTAAGCTTTGTTTTGATCAACTGCAGTGTAAGATGTACGTATTTTTAAAATTCAAAATAAAATTTCATATCAAAAAGCATTTATCTCTTTATTATTTATCTTTTGGGGATTTTTTGGAAGGAAAGAGGTTGAGTCTCCCTCTTCCCCCCATGTCTCTCAGGGTCTCCAAGCCACTTACAGCCTTTAACCAGGAGAAGGCTGGTGTTGGCCAATGTGATTCTGAAGGAAAGGACCAAAAGGACTAGTGGGTCTACCCAGAAAGGACTCCTGTTCTTTTCTGCAGCCTCTCACCGTAGCACCAGGCCCTTTGTTGGGATGGAGTGTCACAGTTTAAGATGCCGTCAGCTTATTTCTACATGACTCTATAAAGCACCGATATGCATTTTTGGCTGCCAAGCCTTATTCATTCTTCATAGCCTTGCTCCTACCCTGTTTATATAAACAAAACTAGTCTGGTTATCCAGAGCCTCTGGTCTCCCTGGGGACCTGAGGACCTGATCCCTGGGGACTCTTGGGGAGCCCCAGGCCAGGCAGTCCAGCTTGGTCAGGGCGAGTCTCTTCCGTGGTCTGGGTGGCCTCTTCTGTCTGGAGAGAACGCTGGAGAGAAACAGGTGCAAATAAGGGGATTATAGAGAGCAGGGGGAAAACCTACATTTATTCATACAACAGTGGCCATAAGATATTTCAAATGAATGTGACATACTTTACTTAGTTATCCCCTACAGCTGGGCGGTTTGCTTATTTCCAGGTTTGCTCTATAGTAATCTGTAATGAACAACTCGGCTCGGGGGATACAGCAACAAACAAAACCTCACTGCTGTGACTCCTGTCTCCCTTAGGGACCAAATCTAATCAAACGCTGGCCAACCAGGTCCTTCTTAATTGACACCCCCCAACCTCAGCCCTCGAAGCCCCACGTTCCCCAGGACACTGTGTGCCCCCAGCCTGCATTTTGAGCGCGCTAAATCTCTGTAGCAAAGCAGCGCACATATATGCTTTTTTTTTTTTTTTTTTTTTTTCCTTTTGCTCCATGTCCTGCCCTGCCCGTTCATGGCTTGCTACCTCTGCCGGGAAATGTTCCATCTTCGGGCCCCTGACAAACCCCAGCTCAGAGCTCAAGACCGGCTGAGTCTGTCTGTCTGCCTCTCTCTTACACACATGCACACACACACAGAGGCTTTTCTGCCCCGCACGGCAGTTAGGTGTCTGCTTGTCTTTGCTGCTGGAACTGACATTCAAGAACAGCCGTTTCATGGGGCGCAACCCTAGACAGAGGGGGGACAAGCCTGCCGTGCTGGAGCAGGTGGCTGCTAGCTCCTCGTTGAAGGGGAGTGAGTGCTGTGCTGCTCTGCGCACACTGCAGAACCTTCCTGGGGATCTGCCGTGAAGGCTGCCGGGAGATGCCACCCCACATCCTACTTACCTCCCTGTGCTGTGCTTGCCCAGGCCCCCTGTCTCTCGCAGGCGCCCACTGCATGTCTGCTGGGTGAATGAGTCTCCATCGACCCAGGTGCCAGCGGTAGGCACTGCGCACACCATTGATAGTGTTCCAGAGAACAAGCTCTTCCCCAGTCCCGTTCCGGCCTAACTCTTGTTGTCATGGCTGACCTATGTCACGTCTTTTCTGATGGAATTCATCCCTTTGCTAATCTGCTTCATCCTTGGAAGAAAGCCCAGAAGATTGATACTTTAAATTGTTTGGTTGAAATGTCATGCTCCCGTGTCACCCAAAGCCAAAAGATCCAATTGTGTGTTAGAAAAATAATAGCCATGTTTCACTGTAAATTTATAAGAGCTAACAAGAGTGAGGTAAGGGTACTTCCTCTTTCTTAAAGAGATTCAATATCTGCTAATATCAGTTTAACAAAAGACTTTCAGGTACTTCCACTTCCTGCAATTTTGTGATGCTACACAGTAGTGACCAGTCAAATATCTCCTATCTGTATTTATTGCTGTTTTTCTTTTTTTCCTCAAGGCTGGAAGACCATCCCATCTCTCCCCAGATGGCCAAACATGCCAGAAACAGCTGCCTCCCGTCTCTGCCAAATGCCCACCGTCCAGTCTGCAAGGGGGTCATGCCTGGTCCTGAGCCTTGCACTTCCTCCTCATGTAAGCATACTGGCAGCATGTGGGGGGCAGCTTTGGGCCTGGGGGCAGCTCTGGGCCTGGGGGCAGCTCTGGGCCTGGGGGCAGCACTGGGACTGGGGGCAGCTCTGGGCCTGGGGGGCAGCTCTGGGACTGGGGACAGCTCTGGGACTGGGGGCAGCACTGGGCCTGGGGGCAGCTCTGGGCCTGGGGGCAGCACTGGGACTGGGGGGCAGCACTGGGACTGGGGGCAGCACTGGGCCTGGGGGCAGCTCTGAGACTGGGGGGCAGTACTGGGACTGGGGGCAGCTCTGGGACTGGGGGCAGCACTGGGCCTGGGGGCAGCTCTGGGACTGGTGGCAGCTCTGGGCCTGGGGGCAACACTGGGCCTGGGGGCAGCTCTGGGACTGGGGGCAGCACTGGGACTGGGGGCAGCTCTGGGACTGGTGATGCCCGGAATCTTATGAAGCAGCTGCAGTTACAGACCCAGAAAGGCCTTGGCCTCCCACCTGCTCCTGAGAAGCCCTCTGTTCTCAGCCACTGCTCCGTGTCGTAGAGGCCCACAGGCTTGCGACCACACAGCCAGACCTGACCGTGGGCTTTTCCTCTAGACCCCCTTCTCTCAGAGCACTGTGTCCAGTGCTCACATGTGCAAGCTATCTGAGCAACATTTCTGACTGGGGAAGCTGTGTTTAATGTGAGATTTTTAAGTAGGAATCTCAAAACGATGTAGATCTTCGACCAAAACTTTGGTGCCCCGAACTCTGGTGCTGAGGTGGTCAGCCACGTGTTAGAAGGCTGAATTGAGTCGGAAATGTTGGCTAGGAGCAAAAACTACTGTGGGATCCAAACACATTTTGAAGTATCCAGTTGAGTTCATCAGAGACTGATGGGGGATAAATGTAGTTTTTAGATGCCAGAAAAAAATATATGTGCTTTGAATTAGAAATGTACAAAGTTTTTTTTTTTTTTAATTTTCAAGAGGAAATTAAAAAGATATGAACAGATCAGATAAGACTCTAATATCCATTCAAATAGAAAAACAACAGAGGAGCAGGTCAGATTCCAGTATGAGAAACATCTGCGAGCTTTTATAATCTGCTCACAGTTGGATTCAAATGCTTCTCATCCCCAATTCAGAGCAATAGACCTGTCACGGCGCCAGAAGAAAGCCAGGTTATTTGGTTACCCCAGGAGAGGATCTCTTGACTATAAGCAGTGTTAGAGGTTTTGCCAGCTTTGATCATCTGTTATTTTACATGGGTTTTGTTAGAGCTGCAGACATTAATATGCCTTCTCTAAAAGACGACTAGCTCAATAATTTATCCAGAGGTCTCTGCTGCCGGGGTGGAGGTTTTAGGTTGTCTAACAATTTTTGCCAGTTTGACCTAATACCACTGAGTTTAAAATGATTTCAAGTTCTATAGGCCTGGACTTCCAAACAGTTGCATTTAGGCTAAACTTATTTAGCAGTAACATCCTTGTTTGACCCAAATGACCACCAGGGTGACCCTCTGTCTTGCACGGATTATAAGTGTGGTCCTATCTTTTGGAACGATTTCTCATGGTATTATTACCTGTAGGGTGGACGCACTTGAGGCTGTCAGGGTCAGAGGTGGCTGAGGGTCAGCGGGTCATGTAGACGTTCTTGTTAGTTTCAAGCACAACTGCTTTTGGCCCTGGCAGGGTCTGGTTCCTTGCAGGAAAACAATGGGCACCCATCCCTGGGATCGTCAGCCGTTCCCAGTGCCTCTCCCTGCAGAGGCAGCAGCTGCTCACCAGCCCCTCCAGACGGGCCCAGTCACGCTGTCGGGTGCACCCATGAGCCTGCTGTGAACACTGAGGCCGTATTTTTCGGGTCCCATCTTCCACCTGCTCCTGTTCGCTCAGGTCTGGCTGGGAGCCCATCTACTGCCCTCCTGCCTTGGTGGACTCCACTACACTGACCCCCAGTCCGCCCTCACTCCCCCTGCAGACACCAGGCATATTAGTCTCTCCCCACACCCCCAGGCCGTGTCTCCACCTCAGGCCAGCACCCGTAGTTCTCCGTTACAATCCTTTTCCTTGACAAAAGTTCTCCCCTTGGAGAAGCCAAGCGTCCGGGTCATCGGCATCCCGGGGTCATTTAATGAGCGTGGATTCCGTCTCCGGTGTAGATTCTGTGCTTCCTTCCTTTTGCCCAGCTGCAGCCACCCCGGCCCTCGCCTCATCCGTGGACCAGTGCCAGCTCCCCACCCTGTCTCGCCACCGCCATCTCTTCCTCTTCTCAGCCTCCACGTGAGGTTGCGTGCAAACAGGCTTCAGCCAGTGTGCTTGGAATGCTGCCTTGAGACTGGTTCTGAGGCTGCATCTGGGACTGAGTGCCACGGTTGAGGGAAGGAGGGGACAGCGGTGGGCAGCGGGCCGTCCTGACCCTCACCGGCTCCGGTTTCACTCCTTCCCCGACAAGAGCTGATCTGACTTCCTCTTGACCCTACCGTCCTTCCGGTCCTGCCCCCCCAGCCCTTTCTTGCCCGTCTCTTCTGCTCACCTTGTCCCCCCGCATCCCATGCTGGCCTCGCCTGGCCACTCCCCACAGCTCCCCTCACACATGACTTGCTACTGAGTCTGGCTACCCTCATGCTGGGAATTAACACCTTAAGACCCGTGGGAACCCAGCACCGCGGCCCACACGTCGGGTTTGTTCAGGACACCCCGTCACACCTGTGCATTCAGTCAACACTGAAGGCAGGACTCGTGATGAGGAACCTGCGGGATCCTCAAACGGCTTGATCAGTTGAATGCAGGCCCAGAAAGTACATTATTTTTAAGCAAAGGACTCAGCCCCACGGAGCCGAAAGGAAATAGTTCCCAAGAAAAAGAAGCTAAGAATGTGACTTAGAGTGTTGCACGATATTGGCCCGAGGCAAGTTATTCTCATTTCCCCACCAACCAAAACGGGGGTATCAAGATCACATGCCTTGTCAGTGGACCGTGGAGGGACAATGCCAGCCCTGTCTGAAATGGATTAACAGGTGGGAAAGCAGTGGTTGTCCCAGGAAGCCTCAGGTGCACGCACGCACTGCCCTTCTCCTCCCAGGTCCCAGCTCTTTCAGTGGAGCGGGTTTTTTGGGGGGGGGGGTGCCGCGGCGGGTGCTCTGAAAGTCTGCAGTGTGGCCTAAGCAGAGGGAATAGGCAAGGACGGAGGGGTGGCTGCTGCTTGGTGACTGAACCGAGAAGACCTCAGAGGGTCTCCGGAGACCCCAGCTTGGCGCCTCCTCCCTCCTGCCAGAGGGCTTTGCCAGCTGTCTCCCCCCACCAGCGGCCGGGGAAAGGTCCTGATCCTGGAGGGCTGCCTCCCCGTGGGCACCATCTTGTAACACCATTAACTCTCATGGGATTTTCTGTGTGTAGCTCAGCACTCATGGGTGGTTCCACTCAACTATTATTTCATACACCCAAATCTGGTCCCCTGGACTTTATTAAACAGTTAAGTCTCCTACATAGGAACGAGTTCCGTTCTGAGATCACGTTCGTGAGTCCGATTTGTTCATAAATCCAACGAAGCTAGCCTAGGTACCCAGCTAACTAATATGATACTAATAACTAATATAACTAATTATAACTAATATAATCAGCTACATAGTACTGTGCTGTAATAGGTTTATAATACTTTTTGCACAAATAATACATAAAAAACAAACACACAAAATAAAGAAAACATCTTTAATCTTACAGTACGGTATCTTGAAAAGTGCGGTAGTACAGTACAACAGCTGGCATATAAGGGCTGGCATGGAGTGAACAGGCAAGAAGAGTTACTGACTGGAGGAGGGAGAGGAGGTGGGAGATGGTAGAGCTGAAGGGTCGTCAGCTATAGGAGACGGAGGGCAAGCTGCAATTTCACTCACACCTGACATGGATGGCACAGGTTCTGGTTCCTTGCTGGATTCAATTCTGTCTACCCTCTTGAAAAAACGATCCAGTGACGTCTGGGTAGTAGCTCTTTTTTCTCATCATAGATGACCCGGTAGCACCGGATTGCATTCTGAGTGGCTGCTGCAACCATTTGTAGGGGATGCACACACATGGCAATGAACGCCAGAGACGTGAACTAACTTACGTGACTGGACGTGCAAATGCACGTTCACGTCTTTGAAAGTTCACAACTTGAAGGTTTGTATGTAGGGGACTTACTGTAAGACCATTGAGCAGAGAGCACAGACAAGCAGGCCAGTTGTCCATCGAAGAGCAGATCAGAGAAGGCTGAAATTCTAGTTCCAGTCCCAGTTCTGGGTGGAGACTGTCCACTGTGGACTGTAAATAAAGCCACCCATTGGGTTCCATACCAGAAACAGAGTCCTTGTTTGGGTCAAAAGAGAGTTATCTGGAAGTCAAAGCTGCGCCCCCTGGCTATGGATTTGAGGAAACCTGCAGGGAAGATTTTTTTTTAATTGAAGTCTAGTTGATTTACAATGTTGCATTAATTTCTGCTCTACAGCAAAGTGATTTAGTTACACATATATATATACATTCTTTTTTATATTCTTTTCCATTATGGTTTATCACAGGATATTGAATATCGTTCCCTGTGCTATACAATAGGACCTTGTTTACCCATTCTATATATACTAGTTTGCACCTCCCGACCCCAAACTCCCACTCCATCCCGTCCCCACCCCCCGCCCCCTTGGCCACCACAAGTCTGTTCTCTATGTCTGGGAGTCTGCTTCTGTTTCATAGATAAGTTCATTTGTGTCATATTTTAGATTCCACGTATAAGTGAGTATGTGTTTTTGTACCATATAAGTATGGTGTTTGTCTTTCTCTTTCTGACTTACTTCACCTAGTATGATAATCTCTAGGTCCATCCATGCTGCTGCAAATGGCATTATCTCATTCTTTTTTAAGGCTGAGTTGTATTCCATGGTATATATGTACCACGTCTTCTTTATCCATTCATCTGTCAGTGGACATTTAGTGTCTTGGCTATTGTGAATAGTGCTGCTGTGAACATAGGGGCGCGTGTATCTTTTTGAATTATAGTTTTGTCTGGATATACGCCCAGGAGTGGAATTGCTAGTCATATGGCAACTCTATTTGTAGTTTTTCTGAGGAAACTCCATTCGTTTTCCATAGTGGCTGCACCAACTTACGTTCCCACCAACAGTGTAGGAGGGTTGCCTTTTCTCCACACCCTCTCCAGCATTTGTTAGAGACTGACCGGTGTGAAGTGGTATATCATTGTAGTTTTAATTTGCATTTGTCTAATAATTAGCGATGTTTAGCGTCTTTCATGTGCCTGTTGGCCATCTGTACATCTTCTTTGGAGACATGTCTGTTTATGTAGGGAAGACTCTTTATATTTTAGATAAAGCAGAGGCCACGTTGCAAAGGTGCTAGAGGGACTTTTTTTTTTTTTTTTAATGAAAGAGCTGAAAAGAGCTTGGATTAAGGAAGCAGTGAATCCAGACTGTCACAGTGTTGCTCTGATGGTGACACGGACCCCTTTGGCTGTAGAACAAGAAGAGGAGAAGCAGGGCTGGAGAAAGAGGGGTCCATGTCATTTGAAATACAGAACAGGCCCGTCCCCAGACTCTTGGGAGGCATCTGCGGCAGTGTCATCTGGGACTTCTCCCATCACTCCCCGTGATCTTGGGGTGACCTAGGTGGCCTTGTCCTTGCTAGGTGGAATTATGGAGGTTCCTGCCCCTGGGGGAAGACAGGGATTCAGGCCTGAAGGATCCTGGGGCAGCACAGGGCGAAGAGAGCCCCACCTCTGGGGTTGCCAGATTTGGCAAATAAAAATACAGGACACCCAGGTGAACTTGAATTTCAAATAAACACGAAGAGTTTTTCAGGGTGCCTCTGGGCCGCTGTGCATCAGCGCCAAGCAGGGGCCCAGGAGACAATTCTGGCTTTTGTTGGCTTTTCCCTGAGAGGCAGTGGGAGTGTGGGAGGCGACAGGACCGCTGGTCTGTCCTTCTCTGCGCTTCGTGTGCTCCAGCCAGAGCATGCCTGTTGCACCCTCAGGTTATAAGTACATCAAGTGGCCATCTGGAAAGGCCCCGAGCTGCACGAGTAAACAAGTCCCCATCCACAGGCGCCGGGGAGCCGTGAGGGACTGGCCCGGGGTGTGTGCTTTTCTCGACTTCAGGGTGCAGCCCAGCAAAGAGCATCCTCAAAGAGCTTCCAGAGCAGAAGTCAACTGAGCTCTCTCCTCTTCCCCAGCCACCATCGATGCCAAGTCGGGAGAGCGGTTGCCAGCAGGATGTCAGGGAGAGCCTCACCTGCCCCCAGCGGGGGGCCTGAGCCAGCCTAGGGAGGTGCCCTGTGCCCTGGACAGTGGCGAGACCACCAGGTAGGGATGGGGAGGTATCCTGGGGAGGCTCCTCTGAGGCCCAGTGTCTGACGATGGAAGCAAAGGAGCGTTTCGCTGGGCCCTGAAGCGCGGTTCTGAGATCCTCGGGGGACTGTGGTCACCGCGCGTGATAACCTCAGAGCCCAAGGGGAGGGACCTGCCTCAGGAGAGGTATCAGCTGTCAGACCGGAAGGAGAGAAAAACTTACAAACATGCCCAAGAGACTAGTTTTAAGAACTGATAGGTAAACATGTTGGAGAGGGTTTGTGATTAGAAGTAATTTGAGGTCGGTGTCCTATCTTAGCAGTTGGCTTTGGAGGGGAGAAAGATGAACGAGATCAGTAAAATGGTTTGGCTCCAATGTCAGCTTCCTGAAACCGAAACTGGGTCTCCAAGAAGAAAATAAAAGTTCTTTTCTCTCCCTCTTTCCCAACGAGCACAAACTGCTGCTTGACGGGTTACTAGGGGTTCTTTAGAACCTAGAAAGCACTGTTTTTCTTAATCTCTCACAGGCTCCCTCTTTCAGCTCGGAGGAAGCCTGCTCAGGGGGAGGGGCCCGGCTCTGGACTCAGACCCAGCCTGTCTCCCAACCGCCGCCCACCACTTCCTCCTGGTCACAGAACGCCCTGCCGGCTGAGCGAGTCACCATAGACAAGCCAACCTCCTGCACTAAAACACTGGGCTAGAGTCATGGTGAACATGACTACGCCTTGCAGTCTCGGAAGTAGAGGGATCTTGCCACAGTGACTGTCCAGGCCTCCCGCGCCCCACCTTCCCGTAGAACAGGGAAGGACTTCCCTTGCTGTGTCCGCAGGGTCACCCTAACCTCAGTTGTGGTCACGGTCTGGCGGCAGCAGCAGCGGCGCCTCGGGGAGCTGGGTGAGGCAGTGGGAGGGCCCGCATTCCAGGCTCCAGAGAGGCCTGAAGCCACCCACCGCCTGCAGGAGTGGCCAGGGAGTCCGAGATGACCTGCAGAAGCCCTAGCAGAGCCGGCACCCACTGGGGCAGGCAGCGACCCTGCACCTTTCTTTCCTGCTGTGTGGGGATGAGCCGGAAGGACTTTGGAACCTGCACAGGGCAGGGGGGCAGTCCTGGATGTCTCTCCCGGGCCGAGGGCGTAAAAGATGGTGAGCCCGAGGCCCACTGTGGTCACGTGCTCCGTGACTGTCTCCCGCGCTCCTCAAAGACAGAGGCCGTGAGCAGGGTGTTTGTCCCTGTGTTCCCACACCTGGCCCAGGGCAGGAGCTCAAAACAGGCGATGGATGGATCCTCAGGAGAAAGGAAGAGAGAGTGGCTCTCTCTCTGGCTTGACAACTCCTCTCTCTCTGTCTGTAGGGGGGAGGGCAGCCCCTGGCGCTGGAGGAAGATGAGTCGGCTGGGTGGGCCCTCGTTTGCGGCAGAAGGAAGGCCCTGGAGCTCTGGGCGTGGGTCATTGGTAGACGGAATGATAGCCCTAGCCCTCGTTGCTTAGCCCCAACTTTGAGGTGGTGTAAAGATGATTGCAGCCTCGTGGCTTCCAGCAGCTGGTCTTGCTGTGCAATTGCCTTCCTAGAAAAGCCAGGAGTAAAAATGTTCGGACCCCACCATCGCACACCTCCCCACAGCCAAGTTCTCCTTTTCTTTTTTCTATCCGCTTAGCTTTGAGTAACTGTTAACCAGGCTATGAAAATGCATTTTTCTAAAAAAAGCATTTATCCCAAGAAGAGCCAAGGCCCTCTCCCGGGAAATCTGTCGGTCCAGACCTGGAGGGCCTGACCTGCACCTTGGAACGTGCAGCGTTGCTTTCCAGCCGTCACCTCCGGGAAGGTGAGGGGCCTTGCTGCCCAGACTGTCCCGTGGCCTTGCCAACCCATCGGCCGCCAGCCATCTTCGGATTATGACTCAGCAACATTCCAAACACAAGTAGAGATTAAATATCTCCAGAAGCCTTTTATTGCTACTCCCTTCCAACACAATGTTCCTATTGATAAGGGAGATAATATAAGCAGGCCAGTCTTCTTTAATAAGTAATCGCCTACCTTTCAGGCTGCCTCCCAATTTACCAATATATTGAAGTTTACCTCTTACTAGGACCCAGCACCATGTGTTCCTGCGGCAGATTACGTTTTTCTAAATCGTAGGCACCTGCCATCCATGTGCTTTTTCTGCTCTGCCCTCATCCGGCCCCATCTCCTGCCAGACCGTCGCCCGTTCCTGGCTCTGGCTCCTAGCTGCCCAGACTGCTGAGCTCAACATTCTGGGGCATTAGGGGGCTAGGGGCCACTCAGAGGCCAAGCTGACCCTTACCGCCAGACGCCCATCCCCGCCTCCTACAGAGTCCTTTCCAGGGGGTCCTGATGCCATCATCCCTGCAGAGTTCAGTGACAGTGGCCAGCGCCCTCAGTCCACACCACCGCTTCCTGCAGCCCCCCAGGTGGTTTGGGGAACCTCATGGGATGGGGGGCACCTGCCAAGCCGAAGGGCGGCCCCCCCGGTGTCTGCCAAAGGCCACTTTCTCCAATGCCAACGGGGGGAGCCAGCCGAGGGAGCCTCTGCCTGAGGGTGCTCTTCCCCCAGCAGCAACGCTGCCCTGGCCAAAGGTCACGTCCCATGGCAGAGAGGAGGCTGCCTTTTAAGGTGTATTAGTTAGGATTCTCCAGAGAAAGAGAACCAACAGGAAGTGTGTCTATACAGAGATTTCTTTTAAGGAACCGGCTCCCATAGTAGCAGAGGCCTGACAAATCCAAAATCCAAAAGTGATCAGATGAGACCCACCCACATTCTGGAGGGCAGTCTGCTTTACCCAAAGGCCACTTATGAGGAGTTCCCTGGCGGTCCAGTGGTTAGGACTCCGCATTCTCACTGCCAAGGGCTCGGGTTCAATCCGTGGTCGGGAAACTAAGATCCCACAAGCCGCACAGCACGGCCAAAAAAAAAGTCCACCTATTGAAATGTTCATCTCATCCAAAAAACACTTGCACAGAAATATCCAGACAATATTTGATCAAATACCTGGGTGCCATGGCCCAGCAATGTTGACCCATAAAATTAACCTGCACGTAAGGGTGTTCACACGCATTGCCAACTTGCTCTCCAAAAAGGATGGGACCCTTTCCTGGTTGCCCTGGGTTGGGAGGTCAGAGATTCCCAGCCCTGCTGCCCAGACTTTTTTCTCCCTTCACTTCTTGCCAACTCATCTCGGCTGCCTCTGACCCTGCAACTTGACCTTGCTGCCCACTGGCTCTAAGGCCCCACGGGGTGAAGTGGGCCAGCCGTCCTGGGCCTGCACGTCTAGCTCCTCCAAATCTGGCCACCCTGTTCCATGACCGTGTGATGGGACATCCCCAGGTAACCCAGGGCTGACCCTGTGCCGTTACCATTGCTGGGAATAGACCCAGTGCTCACCTGAGTAGTTTTTACTAGTGTCTCTCAAGTATTCCTTCTTAAAGTGTAATGGGGCTACATTTAAAGATGGTCAAGATTTTTATGTTCTGTATATTTTACTGCAATAACAATGATAAAAAATATCAAAATTAGGGAGTTCCCTGGTGGTCTGGGATTCCGGGCTTTCACTGACATGGCCCGGGTTCAATCCCTGGTCAGGGAACTGAGATCCCACAAGCCACAGGCCAAAAAAAGAAAAAAAAAAAAAATCTGTATATCAAAATTAGAACAGCAAAATAGGAGAAAACATCTGAACTAAATAATATGAAAGGAAAACCACCTCATTAGCCCGTATAAGAAGCTTCTTTGTATGTGGAAGAAGTGTCAGCAGTGCATGCCTGCTTTCACACAATTGCAGTCAGACTTACATGCTACTCTGTATTGCTCTGTTTTCAGCCTTATTCCATTCTCTCTCATACGCCTGAGTAGCCCCCATCTTCATTATTTTTAATGATTGTGTGCTCTTTCATCTGATCTATATACCGGACTTTATGACGCCTTTGCCCTAAGGTTTTGCTTTTCTTTCATTCACTGGTAATGCATGTGGTGCTCAGAAACCGTGCTGGACACTGGGGCTCAAAGGTCAACTAGACCAAATTGCTGCTCTTAGGGAGTTCACCTGGAGGGACAATATTATGAGTGACATAAAAATAAATTTTGCTTTTTGAAGAAAAAAAATTAAAATTTAAAAAAACGTAATAGGGCTAAATCTCCTCTATCCTTTTCAACCTGGTATGAAAGATTTCTTGTCTAAAGTATGGGCGGTTTTTATGCCAGCCTCTTTTTTTTTGCTTTATTGGAATATAGTTGATTTACAATGTTGTATTAGTTCCTGCTGTACAGCAAAGTGAATCAGTTATACGTATACATATATCCACTCCTTTTTAGATTCTTTTCCCATAGAGGCCATTACAGAGTACTGAGTAGAGTCCCCTGTGCTCTACAGTAGGTCCTTATTAGTTATCTATTTTATATATAGTGGTGTATGCCGGTCTTTTCCTAAATTTGAATTTGGAGACTTTTCAGATATTTAAGTTTTATTTTTCTGATTATTAAAGTAATAGATTCTCAATATAAAAAAAAAAAAGGAGGCATATAGAAATGAATCCAAAAATTATGCAGTTTCCTCCCAAGTCTCACTCCCCAGAGCCGTAACCCCCATTTAGGGGGCACTTTACCACAGCTGGGCCCGGAGCACAGCCACCCTACCTTCAGAGCTGTCCTATAGAAAACATTTTACAGGTGAGGAAACTGAGGCTCCCAAAACGTCAGCAGACTTGCTCACTCTCGTCACCAGCTAGAGAGCAGCACAGCGGGACTGAGAGTCCAGGTCCTTCCAGTGAGCGCACCCTCTGGGCCCCCCACCCTCCTTCCCGGCCACTGGATCCCGCACTTCCCACAGACCTCAGTTTCAACCCCCAGCACACACCACACACGCACACGCACATGCACACACACATACTCCTCACTGCCCACTGGGAAGCCCTGCAGCCGGTCAGCATCTCCCTGTCCCAGGGGATGCAATGGGGGGACCCCCTCACTCGCCAAGCTCACAGTACCTGCCGTGCGCCCACTGTGTGCAGCCCGCAGATGGAGACACCCACTTATTGAAGGGAAGCTGGACTATAGGAGTACCTGCTGCCTGCCGGGAGCGGAGCTGGCGCTGACATCAGCTCATTCAATGGTGACAACAACCCTGGGTGACAACCCGGGACTCCAGTCTTCAGAGTTATTGTCCGGAAAATGGGCGCATAGATAGCAAAGGCCCCAGAAGTCGAGGTGGGAAGAAGAATTGAGCATGTATATAGCTCAATGACAGCCAGAGAGCAAAGGGCTGGGCCGGGAAGTCACATCACCAACCCCAGCTGCGGTGGCTGCAGGTGCCGGAGGAAAGCTGGCTCCTGTCTCTGTGAAGCTGGTCCATTGGGATGGGGTCCTGAGGGCGTCTGCAGGATGGCTGGCTATAAGATCCCACTGGGTTCAGAGCTTGGCCTTACTAACTGCTTGTTATGTGTGTGACCTTGGGAAAGTTTATGAACTTAGAGCCTCAGTTTTAACGTCTGAAAAATGGGGTAGTAATGCCTGCCTCACAGGATTGTTTGGGGGCTAAAAGTCACCTTCTCACTGAGGCCTTCTCGGGCTACCCCATCTAAAATCACTTTCCAATTGCTATGATAAATTAGCACACATTTAGTTACCTGAACAAACACAAATTTATTATCTTACAGTTCCCTAGGTTAGAAGTCCTACACAGGTCTCAGTGGGCTGGAATCAAGGTGTCCACTGGACAGGTTACATTCCGGAGGTCTAGGGAAGAATCTCTTTTCTGTCTTTTCTGGCTTCTAGAGGCCTCATGCCCTCCTTGGCTCGTGGCCCCTTCCACTATCCTTCAAGCCAGCAGCGTGGCGTCTCTGTGCCTTTTTTCCGTGGCCATACCTGTTCCTCTGACTCTCTTCTTCTGTCTCTCTCCCACTCTTAAGGACCCTTGTGATTACCTTGGGCCCACCCCAGTAATCTAGGATAATCTCACACCTGCAGCCTTAATTCCCTTTTGTCATGTAAGGTCCCAGGGAGTAGGACATGGACCTAACTGGGTACCATTACTCTGCCAGCCACAGCTTTCCTCGCCATTGGATCTCACAATTTAATACTCTCCCAAGTTCCCTATTCCCTTCCTTGCTTCCTCTCCTCCTTAGCATTGATTCCTCTTTCATCGTCTCCCTCCTGCCCTAAAACGTGAGCTCCATGGGACAGGGACTTATGGCTCTGGGTGCCCTGCTCTCCCTCACCCCCACCACGTGCCCAGGACAGTGCATGCCTGGCATCTATTAGTGCTTGGAAAGGGGGATCCTTCCTTCCTCCTGTGACTTCAGATTGCACATTTTGTTCCAGGGAGTTTACACCAGGCTTCGCCTACAAGCCCCGGGCCCCCTGCAGCCCGGAGATCCTGGACCTGAACCCACCCAAGGCCAAGGCATCGGCTCTGGCCCCTCATTTCTCCTCGTGTGGCCCACAGCAGGCCAGCCGCCCCGGCTCCACGGCGTCCGCCACAAGGAGCCTGCAAAGTAAGTTAGCCTGCAGGGAAGGGCGCTGGCCTTCTGCATCTGACTGGTGCCCCTTCCGTGCCCACCGGACCAAGGCCCGCTTCCCCTCCCCGCAGGACCAGGGCCCTAGCCGGTCGCTTCCTCTGCCCCAGGGACCGGTTCTTCACTCATCTTTCTGTTTATGAAATTGCCCTTGGCCTCAGCGGCTCATACACAGACAGGTGGAATGACACCTTCCAGGCAGTGCCACTCGGAGACAAGATCCCCCTGCGTGGGGCTTGCAGGTCAACCCTGAAATCCGAACCGGCCTTCTGGTGGGAAGCAGCCAGCAGCAGCTCAGGGCGGCCTCGAAATCAGACAGAAGCAGGTGCTTCCTCGCAGGCTGGGCGGAGGGGTCGCCCGAGGGACCGAGTGGGGTGTCCAAGGGCCCCCCTCTGTCCCTGGGGTCCCCCTCCCGCCCTTTTACTAGCGGTAAAGACCGCTTCTCTGTCCCCTGCCCGTCGGCTACTTGACCACACCCCTCCACTCCCCAGCTGAGCCCGTAACTTTCTAAAGGGTTTACTAAAAATAAGGGAAAACAAAAGAGAAACCGAACAAAAGAACGTCCAGCGGCACAGAATCAGTCACTCTCAGGATGTATGCAGGCCTGCGGCCGGCCCCTTCCCTTCCTGGCGCGGCCCTGGGCGCTCTGGCCAGCCGGGGAGCCGTTGGGCTGGGAGCGTGTAAATGGGCCGAGGCTGGGAAGCCCGCGGGGCCCTCCCCCTTCTTGCAGCGCCCCTCTGCTGGGAAACACACGCGGGGCCCCAGCCCGGCCTCCCCACCGCGGTGCTTCCGCACACAGGTCCGGAGGAAATGCCGGCGAGTACGGGGGGGCGGGGTGGGGGGCGGCCAGGAGAGGGGCAGGCAGGCCGCCCATCCCTGCCCGGCCTCCGGGCTGCAGCAGGCCGGGCGCCCCTGCTCTCGTAACCACGGTGGCAGCACCCGGCCGCGGACGGGCTGGCTGGCGCATGGGGTGGGTAGCAGCAGATACGCGTCCCACGGCCTCAACAGACACAGGCGCGCGGCCGGCGGAGCTCACTGAGTCCCCGCACCGGGCAGCCTGCTTCCTGTAAGGAACGAGCGTGGCCGCCCGACTCAGGCCCTGGCCGCAGAGCAGGTGACCCGGGAGGGAAGGTTCTCCTGTTGAAAGGAGGGCTTGTGTGGGACAGACGGGGCTCTGTGCTGAGACCGGCCTGGCGCTGGCAGCTTGCCTAGATTTTCTTCTCCAGGCGGCCAGTCTTCCAGGAAGTGAGGCTGGGTTCTTCCCCGGTGTCACCATCCCGTTGCCCAGTGACCAGCCAACTTCCTGCCCTCAGCCAGCCAGCAGCTGCAGGTGACAGATGTGAAGAGACAGTTGTCAGTGAGCCGCCAGGTGGCTTCAGGGGCTGAGGGGGACAGCCCTCCAGGCATCCAGGACCAGGCCCACCACAGCCCATGCCCCAGGGTCCTGCCACCGCCCTTCCTGCCCGCCCTCCCCCTGGCACCCAGCTGGGGGGGCAGCACAGCCAAATCCATGAGCCTGTCCATCTCGTCCATCTCGGGAGCTTCTGCGGAGGAGCCGGAGCCAGACATCTCGGCCGGAGACAGGACCCTGGCCTCGGCGGAAACTGGCCCCCCTCACCCAGACCGAGTATGAGGAAACAGAAGGGACTGAGAGTAACAGAAACTCATTCTCAAGCCCGCTGCCTGAGCAGCAGACTTCGTATTTTCTTCCTCTTTTAAAATCTGGTAAGAATGTGGTGTGTTCCCCTCTCTGGCTGGGAATATGGCTATTCCAAGGCAGCCCCGTGCTTCTGCACGTGTGTTTTAAGGACTCAGAGCGCTGACCAGTTTAAAGCCATTTCCCTCCCTCCATTAAGACCATAAGCACAAATAGTGCCGCAGGCAGTGTGACTGTCCCCCGCTGGTGGAGGCCTGTACTCGCTTCTTGCCGAGGGTGCCCTCAGGGCCCACGTCTGAGGACCGAGGAAGAAACTTCACTGCAGAGCCAGGAATATTACTCAAGCTAGTCGCAGGGTCTGCCCTCTCCGAAAACACAAATATTGAAATAAAATTATCAGTATTTAGATGGTACGTGTGTGTGTGTGTGTGTGAATAAAATCACATGCTGCCCCCCAGGCAGTCCGTCTGCCCTGGCCATGCCCATTAGTGGAGACATTACTGTGGTCCCACTGGACATAAATAAAGGATAAGCACTGTGTTTTTCAACGGCCTTCTGACTCCTCAGGAGAGCGGGCAGAGAGGTAAACGGGAGAATGTTGGAGCAGGCAAGAGGCCAGGTTGCCCCTGTGATGACTGTAAACACATCATGGGCCGGGACCCTGGGTTAATCTCGCAAGGTCTTGGCAGTGGTGCCAGGCTGGGCACATTAGAACTCTGTGGTCGTGTCACTGGCCCATCTTGATTCTCTGGAAATGCATGAGCCCCTCTCTGTTCCTGGGGAAGGAGGCTGTGTGGAACACTGCCCTGCCTTCTTGGGAATGTCAGCCTCTAGGTCCTCTGAACTCCTGGCTTGACCTCTGAAGGAATAAAGAGAAAACACGAACACTTCTCTCAGTGTTGTTGATACGGACAAACAGGAGGAGGAGAGACTGGGTCCCTGAAATGGAAGCGCTCCGCGGTGAAACGTTGAAAAGGCAGAGAGTGTTTGCTGATGAACAGCAGAGGAGCATCATGGAAAAATCTCTCCCATTCTCTCCAGCACTGTCCACTCCCTTCAGATTCCTCAGATGCCACCAACTGGCACAGCCGTGCCCTGCCTTGGCGTGGGAGAAGCCCTATCTCCAGAATCCAGAGGGAGTGGGCGGCTCATCTGTTACCACCCATAGCCTCCCTGATGCAAGGGGAACTTCTCTTTCTCCTCAAGCCTGCGGATGAGCTCAAGTGTGATTTGTAAATGTCTGGCCATTTGGGATAAAAAAACAATGTGGGCAAACTACACTGAGGTCACCAGCAGTGGTCTGGGCGGTTCCCTGGGGACTAAACATGGCCTCGGCCTCTGGGAGGGCCCTCTTGCAGACACACACTTCCACATCCCAAGGCTGATGGCACAAAAGAGACTTTGTAAAATACCAATGATTTATGCGTAAATATTCTAGCTCTCTGCTGCCCTAATGGGAGGTGGATATAAACACTGTCTACGGGGTGGGGTGCAGGGGGGAAATCAAATATACAAAACCGAAACCAGAACGTTTTCACAGGTCATCTGGAAACCAAATCATGCAGCTCTGAGGATTTGCCCATGAAACCTACTCAGGGAAGACGTGGAGAGGAGTCCATGGAACTTTGGAGAAATGGGCCTTCAGGAAGAGTCCTTCTGCCCCTGAAAGCTGATCCCAGCTCCCTGGTTACTGGCCCCTTAATTTCTCCTGAGTAGGACTTGATCTCATTTGCTTCATTCACAACAAGTGTAAAAGTCCAGCAACAGCTTAAATTATGACCCTTGGTGGGAATATAATAGGCAGGTAGAGGTTTGAGATCTAGTCAGATACCAGGGCTCACGCGGTAGGCTGGAAAGTATTTGGCCCAAATCAAAGGAGCTAAAAAAAAAAAAAGCACAAGTAAATAAGATTAACACAAAAAAATCCATGACAAAGTATCAAACTTATAATAAAAACAGAATCTGGGGCTTCCCTGTTGGCACAGTAGTTAAGAATCTGTCTGCCAATTTAAGGGACAGGAGTTTGAGCCCTGGTCCAGGAAGAGCCCACATGCCGTGGAGCAACGAAGCCCGTGCGCCACAACTACTGAGCCTGCGCTCTAGAGCCCACAAGCCACAACAACTGAGCCCACGTGCCATAACTACTGAAACCTGCGTGCCTAGAGCCCGCGCACAGCTACGAAGAGAAGCCCCCACTCACCGCAACTAGAGAAAGCCCACGCACAGCACTGAAGATCCAACACAGCCAAAAATAAATAAATTTATTTAAAAAAAACAAACAGGATCTGACCACATGCTTCTGTGGCCCTACCTTGCTTGCAGAACCTTAATCCCGGCCCCGATTCCGATAAAGCTTTATTTACAAAAATAGGCAGCCAGCCCACGAGCCATAGTTTGCTGAATTGCATTAAAATACCATGTATCTTGAATCCGAGGGCACCGCTTACATTTTGTGTGCGAGGTGGATGCCTCACTGGCCTCGCCTGGGATCTGGGGAGATCCTCCTGGGGCCTCCCAGGGTGTTAATAGTACGGCCTCGTGGCCGAGGGACTGGGCCTGCCTGCCTGACCATCTTCAGCTCTCCAGACCCTGTGGGGAGTTGTTCTAAGGAGTGATGCAGTTCACTTTTGCACATAACAAACTACCCCAAAACTTAATGGCATAAAACAACAATTTATTAGCTTCACAACTGTGTGGATCAGCAATGGAGGCTGGACCCAGAGGGGCAGCTCTCTCGGGCTTGGATGGACCCAGCTGATCAGAGGGCAGTCAAGGGCCTCACTCATGTCTGGCAGTTGGCTGCGGGCTGGGTCCTGGGTTTATCCTCCAGCAAGTTAGCTCAGGCTCGTTCACATGGTGGTCTCAGGGCAACAATTGCAGCGAGAGAGCTCAAACCCACGTGCTGTTCAGGTTTCTACCTGCATCACATTTGCTGCTCTCCCATTGGCCAACACAGATTACATGGCCAAGGCCAAGTCTGTGCAAGAGGGACCGACAAGGACCCAGAAACAAACCCGACAGGTCTGCGACAATCTACCATAGAGAGGGTGTTCAGAACTTACCTCACGCCTCAGAACCAAATCTTTCAGGATGGTTTTTCTACCGTGGCATAAACTTCCCATTTTAATTCAGTTCAACAAACGTATCCTGTGGGGCTGCTCTGCACTGGGTTGCGGAGTGTTGTGATTTTGTTAAATTAACGTTGCTTAGGTGGAGCCCCGGTGAAGGGAAAGTGCAACAGAGAAGTACCTCCGGGGGAGGTACACGGCTCTCCTGGGGTCGGGGACGGGACACACGGGGAGGTCCTGGGAGGTGGGGGAGACTATATATCACTAGGCCCTTGGGGAAGTCCTATCGGGAACTTACTCTTACCTCTGAGCTGCAGGCTGTTCCTGGGCCACGCACTAGCGAGAGGGCTGGGGTCAGTTCAAAGCCTCTGCGGCCTCACTGAGCCACACGGCAGATGCTGCAGCAACATCGCAGAGTAGCTTGGCTAAACTCGCAGCAGGAGACAAGCTTCCACTGGCCTGTGAGTTGCTATCCATCTTCTAGGAAGAAGTCCTGGCCTTTGCAGACAGCCACAGTTCAGGGCAGGGCGCCAGCACCAGACTGAAGTGATGGGCAGATTTCTAGGAGGAGCTTGTAGAATTCGCAGAAAGTCAGGCCTAGAGAGACCTACACAGAGTCGCCTCTTTAAGGTGTCAGTTGAAGCCTGGGAATGGATGGGATCTCAGAGGAGGGAACTGGAGAAATAAGAAAACTAGGGCAGAACCAGGGGTGAGAGAAAGAAGAGTGGCTGGTGCAGGAGACAGTCTCCAGGGAGGAACCAGGCTGGGAGCACATGCTCCAGAACCCGGGGAGGAAAGCAGTGCGTGGAAGGTGCTCACCACAGTCAGAGCTGGAGGAGGGCTGGGCTGCCTGAGGAAAGCAGTGCGTGGAAGGTGCTCACCACAGTCAGAGCTGGAGGAGGGCTGGGCTGCCTGAGGACACCTTCCAGAGAGCGGTGCTGGGCCAGAGGTCAGCCTGGCCCCGGGAAAAAGCTGAGCCAACGAGTTGGATGCTAGAGGCTTTGAGGTCAGTGGGGTCACCTGGAGAAGGACGAGGGGCCAAGGTGATGGCGTGAGCTCTAAGAGGGGCAGCTGGAGCACAGGCCACGGAGCAGTGATCTTGAGGAGTGCTGGGTCCAGGCCCTGGGCCAGGTCCCACCTGGGCAGGAGGCAGTGGTGTCCTGTGGTCAGTTTGTGCCCACTCACTAAATGTTCAGGATTTCTATGAGCTGGTGTTAGCACAGTCATTTTCAAAGCTTAAATTTTATAAACTTAAAATTAAATAATTTCTATTAAAAACAAAAGTAATAAATACTCAAAACTCATCCCTTCCTAGTTTTACTGTTTATATTGTCTACATCCTGGAGGATACATACACCTGTTGTATTTGTAGGAGAGAGGTACACTATAATACCGCCTACTATGCACCCCTTCACAAGTCTGGGTTCAGTGACATCACTTTGGTAGCTTGAAACTGGCTGTGATGGGGACACTTACACCACAGAAAGCGACAAACGCTACAAACCAGGCTTCCTCCGGCCCCCCAGCAGCAGAGCCGGTTGTTAAGGCGTGTGCAAGGTGCAGCCTGGGGCAGAAGGTTGGGTGGGTCAGGGGC